ATTTTGGGAAACTACCATATCATTCAGAAGTCAGCGTTTTGAAGAGGTGATTGCTTGATGTTGATCTAAGGGCATGTTAGGGTCTAGGGCTCAGGAATATGAAAGGTCTAGAGGGAATTTGGGACACGCTGGAAAATTGAAAGATTGTTTTAAGGACAGACGGCCATTGGGTTCAGGGATATCTAAGATTATACAGGGAATATCCAGGGTTTATATAGGGCTTATGTAGGGCATATAAAATTCTGAATACAGCCTCTTTTGACACCTACACATTCTCACCAACACTTAACCGCTGAACGCTGAATAACCCCGGCACACGAGGACACCTTAAGCCATCAATCCTCAACTCTAAAATTCCAAGCTCGTCCCTAAGCCCAAGACTCCCAAATCTTCAACCAAACTAACTTGACACGCCCAAACCCTTAAATCCCCCGAATCCCTTAAACCTCCCAACCGCGCGACCCCTCCTGTGCCTGGGTGCGGTGTAGGACCATCCCTGCCCTGGGCCCTGGCCGCCCGGGGCCTGCCAGGGCTTCGAATGGTCCGCGGTCTCCTGCAAGTTGTTTTTGATGAAGGAGGGGGGTGGTCAGGTGCTTTAGGGGTTTGAGGGGTGAAGAAAGGGTTCTGAACTTTAGGGTTTGGGCCTTTGGTGGCTTAGGGTTTGAGGCCTGAGGTCTCAAGCTTCATCAAAAACCTCTGCAAAGCGGCTGCTGCACACGCCACTGCCGCAGACCGTCCTCGGCTAAGAGCCAGTGCAAACCCTTTCACAGCAAAACTTGGGCATCCGCAAGGGTACATGTCAACTCATTGGCCAACTTCATGATGCAGTTTGTGGAATGTTTGGAAATGTCTGTTCCCAAACTATACAAGTTACACACCAGACTGTGAACCAAGCAGTAGCTCAGGAATTTCAGGATGTGCATTAAACCCTAAACCCTAAACCCTTAAACCCTAAACCCTATATGGACCTCCCACACCCATGACACGAAGAGCATCCTCCTCTTCCTTCTTCTCAGCCGCGGGACCGAGGTTGTCCTCCAGGGGGTTGGGCGCATAGCTTCAATTTATACTGGGGATAATGGAAAAGAAAATGGAAGCTATAGGGATTATATAGGGATATATAGGAATTATGGGGAATACATTGGGGTTATATGGGGATAATGGAAAAGGAAATGGAAGCAATTATGGTTTAGGGTTTAGGGCTATATTGGGGATAATGGAAAAGAAAATGGAAACTACAGGGATTATATGGGCATCCAGTACAGACCCTAAACCCGGACTTGTCAATCCGCGAAAGCAACTTCCTCCTTCGTCTCAGCAGGAGCACCCTTCTCCTGAAGGCGTCGGGTGGCGGTTCAAGGCTGGCATTCGGGTAAACACCCATTCAAAATCCACGTTCCCAACTTGCTGCGGGTGGCTTTTTAGAACCTCATCTTCGTAGTGCAGCTTGGGGGAAAGTGCCTGAACAAAGCGCTACCGATCTCTACTTCGCGGATTGTTAGGACTTTTGTTGGAATCCCTGGGCTTGAAGATGCGAAGCGAGGACGTATGAAGAAAAGGAGTAGGCCCAAAAGGCTCTTAATTCTTGAAGCTGGCAGATGGAATTCTCGGACCATCCTTGTCGGAACCATGCACAAAACCTGAACCCCTGCACCAAAACGCCCACCAAGATGATCCCAACTCTAGAACCTACACCCTAAACTCTACTGTGCCCCAAACCCTTACACCGAATCCCAAGCCTCAACTCTGGAGCCCCAATAGAGGTTTAGGTCTTGGGGGTTTAAGGGTTTAGGGTTTAGAGCTTAGGGGCTTAAGGGTTTAGGGTTTAGGGTTTGCCCCTAAACTCCAAACCCCGAACCCTACACCCTACACCCCAAACCCTAAACCCTACATCCTAAACTCCAAACCCCTAACCTTGGGTTCCTCTTCCGCCTTCTCGCTTTCTTTGGGGTCCACAGGTGGCCGGACCGGAAGGCTGGCTGAATCCTTTCCAAATTGGGTTTAGGGTTTCGGGGTTTAGGGTTTAGGGTTTGGGGTTTAGTGAGTGGCTGCATGCGAAATGCTGCCATGTGTGTGGGAGCCTCGAGGCCCCTAAAGGCTTCTGGCACCACTCTAAGGGATTTTGAACCCCAGTAGAAATT